AAATTACAATATATAATTTGAAAACAAATTACAATATATAATTTGAAAGTATTCTCACTTTACAGCATTTTTTCATACCTGCCTAAAACTTTTGCACAGTACTATAATTATAACTGCTGTAAAGAAGATCGGAAGCCACTTCTTTATATCTTTTCTTTTTCTATTTTTCTTCTACCTTTTTTCTTTTTTTGCACTTTAGCTTATTTCTTCCTTTTTCTCCTTCTTGCTCTAGTTTGTATTAATTTTTACTCGTTTTTAAAACTTTCAATAAAAATTATATTAAAAATAATTTATTGTTTTAAGACTTAAGCTTCATTGTATATGATTTATTCTAATCTGTATTACTTTCCATTTTTCTGCCTGTTGTTTAATTTTTTTTTGTATTTTTATTCAATTTTGTATTTCATTTTCTTTTCTTTTTATTATAGATTAAAATATAAAAAAGAAAAAAAACTCTCTTACCTCCATATGCATTAGCTACTCTTGCAGTAATGCTGGTTTCTCTTGCTAATACCATGTCTTTATCCATTAAAGAGAATCTAAAAATATAGAACACGTCTTAGTTTTAGCTTCCACCACACTTATAAGGGCTGAGACTGGCAAGGCAGAAACCAGAGATTCCCAAGCTAGAGAGAACTATTATGTAAATGTATCTCAGTTGTATCTCAAGATACAAGAGACTGACCAAGAATCTATTAAGTCAAAAAGGCTGGAGGTTCTGACTCCCTTTTCTTGCACTAGGCAAGCAATTGTTATATTTAAGGTGTCATTCTTATGTGCAATAAATATTCTAATTTAGCTGAGTCATGTCTGAGAGACTTATGCTTAGTTAAGCCAAATAATGAACAAGGGGACTAAGTGTCTGGAGAGCTGTGATTTACTACTGAGTTCTGGTATAAAGCCTGGCAGCAAAGGCTATTGCTAGCTACAACTTGTCTCTGGTAGCTCCAGTTTTTACCAGTTCTCAACCAGATGCAGTCTTTAATTGGGCGATCAAAGAGGTACTTTGTACAAAGCATATCTTTCAAAATAGTTAAAGGACAATTTATCATAGAGGAACAAGGTTTTATTACAAGCAGACATGGTATTCAAAGAACCAATCCAAGAACAAGGTCTTCAGCAATCTCACATCCAGGAGCCTGGGCTAAACTGGGGAGCTGGAAGGGATGACTGAACACCTCTGCCACCAAAATCAGACTTATTTTTCCCAATAAGGCTAAAAAAAATGGTTTCTGTTCCTATGAACATCATTATTCTGTCTGTCATACCTCCCACAGCCAACCAAAGCCATTAAAAAAAAACAGTGGGGCTCCTAGTCATAAGAAAGTTATGTATCTTTACATTAATCAGTCTGCAAGTGCAACCATCTCACTCTTTCCCTTCACGGGATAGCTTAATTCTCATTGTCTCCAAATACCTTCCTGAACAGCCAGGTCTTCACAGTTCTTCTAAAGCCTAACAGGAAGGGGGTTAGCAGTGCAGATAACTGGGGGTAAGCTGTTCCACAGAAGGGGCCATCATTGAGAAGGAACAACTACAAGGATTCTGTAGATGACATTCCATTACAGAAAGGACCCTTTAATCATGTTCCAGGGCTTATGTCAGGCTTCACTTTTCATGTGAACTCAGAGCAGCCACAATTTCCAGTTAGTTAGCCTTGGTTTCAAACATGGTTTTGTGCTAACCAGAAACAGTAACTGCTTCTGGTACATGTAGAGCCACAATTAAAGAACCACACAGGATGGAAGGTAATATAACAGACTATGCACTCACATTAACCAAGCTAAGCATGTGATGCAAAATGCTCTAAATGAGCAGATGGAAAAACAGATAGTCCAGGCCATACATTTTAATAAGTATCAGATATAAAACTGCTGGGAAACAGTTATTACTGCATGGAGGTGGTTCGAGTAGATAATAAGCACCCATAGAAGAGAAGATGTGTAGTTCAGGGTTGAACTGTGGAGTCCTTGGGGTTCTCTGAGCTTGATTGTGTTCTTGTAAACATTTCGTTACCCGGCTAGTAAGATCTTCAGTGCTAGAAAGGAGTGGAGTTTATATAGGCTTGTTTATATAGGCTTGCCCTGCCTGTGTTGGTGTTTTTTTTTCCTGGTACTTCCTTGATTAGGGTATTGTTTACTGCTTGATTGTATGTCTGGTGCTAATCTTGGTGTTAATCTCTGCTTATTTGGGTGATGATTGCTGGTGAGGAGATGCTGTGGTCTTTTGTTTCCTTTTTATTATTGTCTCTTTTGAGTAGAGTGTAGATGTTGTTTATCTCTATGTGCCTGTTGACAACAGGAACTACCAGAAGAAGAAAAAAAAACCACCAACACAGGCAGGGCAAGGCACTGTATATAAACAGAGAGCAAACTCCACTCCATTCTAGCACTGAAGATGTTATCTACCCAGGTAATGAAACCTTTGCAAGAAAACAACCAAGTTCAGAGAACCCCAAGGACTCCACAGACATTAAGCAACTTAAGGATGTTGGAGAACTGCCTGTACTCAAAAGTGTGATGGAAGATACAGTACTATTCAACTCCCAATGTTTGAATTACACTGAACTCTTTGTTTGCTTAGTTTCTAAACACAGAATGGAGGGCAGAGAGAGACTTCATCTTATTCTGTCTCAGGAACTAAATGTCTTGGACCAGCCAAACTATGACTGATAAAAAAAACTTTTAATTAATGAACTCATGTATGAACATTCCATCTGTATTTTTTTTTAATATTCAGAAGAACTTTTGCAAGCCACTTTATTAAAAAGATACATGGATACAATATGAAAACCAGAGCAGTCAATAAATACTGTCTTGACAAGCCTTGTTTCACAAACATACAGCAGTGAAATTTTCATACTTCTTTTCATAGGGAGCAGTTAATTTTTCACCTATTTGTATCTTAACCAAAGTAATCTTGTCCTTTCTGTAAAAAAGACTGAAGTAATAAATAGAACATTTATTCAGTAATTACCTAATGCTACTGTTAATTACGCATATCAGGGTAATATCCAAATCAGGAACATCTACAGGGGATCAACAATGTTAAAATGGCAGGCTAACTGGGTGATAACCCCACACCCTTATGTTTGTATGATGCATGCAACACACTTTAGAAAGGAGCAGGACTTCAACTACCAAGTTGTGCCTGTCATTTTTACATTGTTGACCTCCCCATGGATTTCCCTGTTCCAAATGATATTTATATGATGTGTTCCCACTAGTCTAGCTAATATATAACTCCTATAAAATACTTAGCATAAAGCATTATTTTTAATTCCCAAAGCCCTATTTAGAGGTTTAGATATCCAAACAGTGGAAAGGAAATAAAAATGAATGCTCTAGACCTATTCCTTCCACTGCCACAATCTCATGTTGATAATGAACATTCTCAGTGATATTGTATTTGTATTCACTAGAATATATTCTACTCAAGCATCTGAGCTTAGCCACTATCTTAAGAGTCTTTCTTCCTGTTAACTGAGGAACTGAAGCGGGGTATTATATGGCTGTGTCTGTGAAAGCCGTAAATATGGAAGAGATGTCTCAATCGGTATCATCTGTTGGGAACAAGGAAGCACACCTTCTCTGTCACAGCACCTGCCCTCTGGAATGAAGTTCCTCTTGAGATACGGATGGCTCTCACCCTATTGGCATTTTGGGATGCTTTTACAGACCTGAATGTTCTCCCAGGCCTTGAGGTAAGATCGATGGACCCCTTGTTAGAGGTGTTTGATGCTGTGTTGTATATGTTTCAATGTTAGTTGTCCGGATTGCTATTTTGTTATTTCCATTATTATATTTTTATTTTATTGATATTTTGTTTTATATTGTGAGCCATCCAGCTATTGGAGTCCAGCAGTACTGAAATTGAAATGTATAAATAAATAGGAGTCTGCACAGTCCTTCAAAAAGGCTCTTATTACAGGTTCTACATTGGTACAAACACTTCAGAACTCACAATCCTCCTGGGACTAAAAACCAACACACTCAGTACTGTGGATAGGTTTGTTTAGGATTGTAAATATTAATATATGACATCTCGCCTCAAAGAGTAATGCAGTCGCCCAAGCCTCTAGTGCAGCGCTTCTCAACTCTGGCAACTTTAAGACGTCTGGACTTCAACTCCCAGAATTCTAAAGCGTTTGACGTACAACTCCCATCAACCAGAGCTGAACTCTCCCCCAGGCCTTGCTGGAAATGGTGGAGGCCGCAGTATAAACGGCACCGAGTTGAGGGACATTAATGTAAAGAGTGAAGTCCTCGCAAGGCGCTTTCGCAGGCAGGTTTCACCGTCGCCTACACCCCCGCGTGGGCCGTTGTCACCTTTTTGCACGAAGCTCTTTTTCTTCCACGTCGCTCTCAACCACGGACCCCTCAACCATCGTCTCATCGCTATCGGCATCGGAGATCTCGCCTCCTTCCGCCATAGCTCGTCCTCGCCCTCCTGTCAGTCCAAGCCTTTCTCCCCGCTCTTACGAAGCCGGTCCCCCCGCAGCCGCGCCCCGTCCCGTCCCTGAGAGGATTCTTCGCGCTCCCGGGGTATGGTGGGCAGAAGCCCGGTGCATTGTGGGAGTTTGCACCTCCGCGCGAATAGGAGCACAGGAAGAATGGAAACCTGAAAGTCTTGGCCGACCCGGCGACAAAATGGTCATGATTGCCAAGTGGCTGGGCGGAAGAGAAGGGGGAGGTGGGCGACCAGGAAAGACTCCGTACTCGGTTCAAGATCTCGGAGTTAGAACCACTTGCCCCAGGTGTTGCCACCAGGCCTACCTTTATGAGAAAGCCATTGAGATTGAGAGGGGTGGCAATCCTGGCACTCCCCGTTGCTGTCATTAACCAATTCCATTGGTCATTAGCCAAGGACCCAACCCAATCCAAACCATTCCGGGCTTGGTCCCTCCCAGCCCCAAGCCCTGGTAAGGTAAGGGACTGCCCCCTCTTCACCTCCCCCCACCCACCTATCTCCCCACCCATCTCTGCCCCTTTGCCCCTGTCTTGTGCGGCAGCAAGCAGCCCCAGAACAGCATGGCTCTGCGGCTGCTTGCCATGCTGTGTCTCAGAGGCTTCTTGGCACACCACAGCTCTGGGGTTGCAGAAGCCCCTGAGCCCCAGGTAGAAGCCCCAGTGTGAAGCTGCAGCCACCCTTGGAAGCCTCAGCCGTCCCAGCCTGGCCCAGCAGCGCAGCATGAAGCCACAGCACCCCAGGAAGCCCCAGCAGTGTGGCGCAAAGCCACAGTGCCCTGGGAAGCCCCAGCAGCATGGCAGGAAGCTGCAATGCCCCAGGAAGCCACAGCTGCTCCAGTCCAATACCAGCCACACTTGTCCTCACCACCCTGCACTTTGAGGTCCCTGCTGCCCTGCACTCTGCCACCCCAGCTGACCTTCACCGACTTCTTGCTCCTGCTGGTGACAAGGTGTACTTGCCCTGGCTGTTCACAAGGCAGCTGCTGACCACACAAGGCCAACTTCCCCAGATCTCATGAGGAAACTGCTGTGTGCAACCTTGGGAAGAAAGCCTTGTGCTGCCTCGCAAAGCCTTGTAGTTGCCTCGCAAAGGTCCAGGCTGGGCATGCTGGTCAGCAGCTGGAGCAAGAAGATGGCAAAGGTCAGCTAGGGTGACAGGGGCCGCAGAGTGCAAGGGGCCAAAAGGGCATAGATGGAGGGGAGATAGGTGGGTGGGGGGAGTTGAAGCGCCCCTACGGTCATAAGTGCAGGCAGGATGCCAAGCGCCTGAATTTTGATCACGTGACCAGGGGCACTGCAACAGCCATAACTTTGGGGACTGGTCATAAGTCCCTTCAGTGCCACCATAACTTTGAATGGTCACTGAACAAATGGGTGTAAGTCAGGGACTACCTGTAACACTACATGGGACTGTCCTTGAAAAAAATTCTGGGATAGACTATGAAACTGATGTCAAATGCTTTCTGGCTTTTTCTTCTTAAAAAAGAAAATATTACTACTTTTGCATCAGTTTTACTGACCTTTCTCCCATATGAACCTGCTAATAAATTGGCTATCCTCTTACAAAGACCCACTGCATATCCCATGGATGGAAATATAGGTCAGGGTGTTTTCTGAAACAGCACCACAGTGATGGTATTTCCTCCAGGGAATCTGGACAGGCTTCAATATCTCATTACATAATTATCTGAAACCAACAAGGAAAGAGATGGCAATCAGATTACTAGTTGGAGTAAATAAAGATAATCTAATTGATAGTAAGATGGTAACAATGTGTTTCAAAAACCCTGGATAAGTCCTACCACCCCCATTGTCTGATTGTTAGGTAAAAATTAGGTGTGTCTGCTTTGTAACATTAAGCTTGGAGTATGCAACATGATGTTTGGAGTCCCTGCCAATATGCCTTTTTTCTCATCAGTTTCTTGCCAGCACTTTTATCATCTGTCCCTCAATACCTTTATTTTCAATTTGAATAATTTTCTTTGTACTTATGGGGAAGAAGATAAAAGAAAACCTGGTGATCTTGCATCAGCAGCTCCATTTTGTGGTTCCTTCTGTTTTTACTTTTTTATGTTTTTCATGGGATTTAGCTTCTAAGCCCTTAATCATCTTTATTGCTTTTCTCTGTACTCTTTCCAGTTCCTCAGCATCTTGAATGCACAGCATTACAGCATAAAGCAAAACTATCAGTTCCTCTGACTTTGACATTATACCTCTGCTGATGCAATCCAAGACCCTTATGACTCTTCCATAATCTCTGGTCTAACAGGACACTCAGATCCTTCTCAAAAGTACTACTACTAATCCAAATACTACCTTTTAGTACCTGTGAATCTGGTTTTTCCTACACCTTACATTTCTACCACTGATCGACATAGTCTATCAAGATCTGTTAGCAATACCTTCCCAGTTTTGTGTTGTCTGCAAATTGCTGAGCATCCGTCATCTAATTTATTTATAGAAAAGTTGAAGGACACTGTTTTGGCATGGTAAGCCCAAACCAAACCATGGTTATAGATTGTGATTATGATGGTTTATCTTAATCACAATTTTACCAATGATCCCAATTCAAACAACAATATAAGTCTAACTACAACACAACTTAAGCACATCATGTTAACGTGATCATTTTTACTTATTTTGTTTAGAAAATTGATACGGCTACCCAATTCGCAGACTGTGACTCTGGGCAGCTATTATAGGACTAAAACCAAGAACAAAATCATCAAAATGAAAAACATCTCAACAAACAGAGTAATCTGACTTAAAAAGATGGCAAAGCTTTACTGTATTTTCAAATGGCTTTCCTTACTTTAAAAACTTGCCTTTCTTAGGATCTGTTAGATGATTTTGCATCTGTATATTTCAGCTAGATTAGGAAGTTGAAAAATCAACCTGGAAGAAGGCAATAGCAAATCATTTCTATAAATACTGTCAAGAAAATTGCATAGATGCAGATACCAGGAGTCAGCCTTGATTCAAGGGTATCTTTTTTTTTTTTTTACCATGGACCTATTGTAGAGTCCTTAGGTTGGGAAGTCCAGAGGGGATGCATCTCTCTGAAGGAGATGGCCATAGAATCTCCAAATAGGAATTATCCCTGAGGCAATGATTGAAACATGATAAAAAAAAATTTTTTTAATTCTACCTGAAAACCATTAAATTCTTCTCAGTTTTAATATATTTTTATGGCTAAAAAGTAACAGAAATGCTTTTATAAACAAACAAATAAATATGATTGTATTTGCTCTCTCCTTCACTATCTCATGGTTAATTGAACTATGGTATGGTGAGTTAACCCAGCTATTTGGCTTCACATAACACACTGAGCTACAAACCAGCCACTTAACATTTCAGCTAGCATATTGTGCAAATCCAGCTAATGTCTTCTCAACATATAGAGTGCCATCATTGTGAATTGTGTGACATAAGAACACTTTAATACAATATGTCAGTTTGTTAGTTATGGCCTTTATACTGCTAACAATGCAGGCACTTCTTTTGCCAGTGTAACATTACATTAATGATGGCCCTAAAACCTAATCTTAATTCAGGATTTCAGATAAATTCCAGCCTTTTCATGTTTGATTCTACTTTCTTTTTCTTCTGATGATAATACATTAATATTGTGATTACATTTTTTGCTCCAGTACATTCACAGCAGCATTGTGACAACCTTGGTATAACCATTTTGTTCCAGCAAATATCTATTATGAAAATATTTCATTGTATTTCATCAGCCCAGAGATTTAGTACTCTGTTATCATTGTTGAATGGATCAACTTCCTTAGTGCATAATATTCCATTTTTTTTAATGGTATCAGGATGGCATTTTTACGTTCCACCAAATTACTTAGGAGCCAATTTGGTATAGTGGTTAAGGCACCAGGCTAGAAACCAGGAAACCATGAGTTTCTTTGGCCTGAGGCACAAAGCCAACTGGGTAACCTTGGGCCAGTCACTATCTCTCAGCCCTAAGAAGGAGGCAATGGCAAACCACTTCTGAGAAACCTTGCCAAGAAAACTGCGGGGACTAGTTGAGGCAGTCACCAGGAGTCAAAAACTGACTCAAAGACACACATACAAAAAAACAAACCCTTTATCTGTTTAGTTTGAGTTTTACCCAAGTGTTTTACGAAGGTTTAATTTTTTTTTAAAAAGGTTAAAGCACAAGAAAGGAAGACTTGCTAAATCTATAGAATTTACATATAGGCTGGCTTCATGCAATAATATAAATCATAGGTATTTAAAATAATAATTTATCTAACTATCCATAATTAAAAGCCATAAATTACAAATCACAGTGACTAAGAATCAAAGAGACGATAAGCCCAAATCAAATTATACACAACAGATGAACCTGCCATTAAACTTTTAGCTTAAGAATCCTGTTAGTAAAAGAGCAAGTATCACACACACAGTTTGTGTCTTCCTTGAAGAGGGGCTCTCAACCAGATGAGTGGATTGTCAAGATGGTAGAACTTGCTGAAATGGCTAAATTGACCTATTTGATTAGAGAAGGAACAATAACTACTTTATTCAAAGACTGGAAACTCTTTATGGACTTCTTGCTGAAAACGGACAAAAATGAATTGGTGATTTCAGGATTCACTGATTAAAAAAGGTTGTTTATGGGAAGAAGGGAACTATGTTATGCAGTTTGGAAGGACAGAAAACAGTATTAACCATGTTTATAACTGCTGCAAAGAAGATTGGAAGTCACTTATTTAAATATTTTTCTTTGACTTTTACTGTTTCTCACTTTTTCTTCTATCTTTTCATATCTTTTTCTCTTTTTCTAATTTTCTCTTTATGTTTCTGTAGTTTCACATTCTGTACAAAATTCTTCATTTTTTATCAATAAAAATTTTTAATTCCATGGCTGGCTGGGGAATTCTGGGAGTTGAAATCCACACATCTTAAAGTTCCCATGGTTGAGAAACACTGTCCTAGACCATAGAAAGTGTCTGACTCAGCACACATACAGCAGGACAGGATTGGTCAAAGTAGGGGAGCAGCTTGCCTATCTCACCCCTAGCCCTCCATCAAGATACCCACAAACCAGCTCTCTGTTCTCTGCCCCGTTGGTTGCCTGGATTTTAATTTTAGATACGGTCACTGAAATGCAACTTTGGCATCAGTTTTCTCTTGATGTGCCAAAAGGTTGCTTGGCAATTAAAAAACAAATCTTTAACCATCAGAGAATTTACACAAATATCTCCGTTATTATGAATTGAAGGAGCCAAAATTAAGGGGCTTTCTGCTTCATTATTCTTCATTTTTCACTGTAAATAAAGTTTACTTTCACTTCTTCATTTTGTATCAAATAAGTATGATATTAGTTGTTAATAGGATGTGACCAGGATTATACTGTATATATTTATA